TGTCAAAATTTCAAAAAATTTTTAATGTTTTGTCATTAAAAAAATTATTATATCCCTTCAAGAAAGCTTTGTAAACAAATACTAATAATATTTTTTTATAACATAATTTATAATTAATTTTATTAAATCAATAACTATTATTAGTTAAGTTATGTAAATGAAAATGTACATAACAAATAGAATATACGGGAACGACCTTAAAATAATAAAGGCTTCCCGCTAATGACAAACAAACATACTAACAATATATTATAGTCTATGCCATTGTTGCCTTATATAGTCTATGCCATTTTAGATATAATCAAATTATAACAATATATTTACAAATAATATTGTTATACTTGTATACACGAATCAATTTTGAAATTAGCTTTAAAATTCTCTATTACTTTATGCATTTGGATAGATAAAAAAAAAATTATAAAATTATAATATTTCCATTAATTAAAAAACTATAACAACACAATTGACCACAAGAAAAAATATTTATAATACTTTGGCATTCAAAGCAAAAGTAAATTTGACAATAAAATAAGATTGTAAAATGAGCAATGAAAACCCTCGTATTTTTTTTTTGTGAAAGTCATAATTTTAATTATCGAAAGTGATTAAATTTTAAGTAATTTATTCCCTAAACGAAAAAATTTCTTAATTTTAAATTAATTTTCAAAAATAATTTGAATTTTTTAAATAAAAAAATATTCATAGTAACTTTACTTTCATAACACGTGTATGAACATACATATTTATATATGTACATTATATAGAGCTATGTTTATATAAAAAACAAATCTAGCAATATTAAAAAGTTCAACAATTCAAAAAAAAAAAAAAATATTTTTTGTCTTCTTCTTTATCATAAAATTTCTCATGAATTTTAAATTTATAAAATAATAAAAAACCAAACCAACCAAACTAAAAAAACAAAATTAAAAATTTCACACGTTATTTGCATAATAATGATGAAAATTCTGATATCGACATTTTTACATTAAATTAAAAACAAAAACAAAATTTATAAAAAATAAAAACAAAATGAATGAGAGAAAAAGGACAATCATTATAAAAAATAATCGTAAATTACTTATATAAATAAACATTTATTTTCAAAGATAATTTTAACGGTTAATTTTCGACAGTTATTTTTATCGCTTTATTAAACCTAACTGATTATCAGTTAAGTTTGTTTTATACAATTTTTTTTTTATTTTTTTTTTCAATTTTATATTTTTTATTTCATTTTATTATACGTGTGCCTTCAAAATATATTATTTCTGGTTTAAATGAAGACAACAATTATTTTCGATTTTAAAAAAAATATATATATATGTGTATCAAAAGGTATAAAATAAAAAATAAAAATAAAAAATTTTAAAATTTTAGCCAACTTATCTACCAAACCAACCAACCAACCAGCTATAGTAATAATAATCATAAAAAAAGGAAACAAAAAAAAAACTGAAAAAAAATGATAATTTCACATCCATTGTCGCTAATTTAATTAATAAGAAATTCATTAATAAAATCAAAATCGAAACTAAAAAACAAAAAAACGAAATAAAAAATAACAAATTAAAAGAATAACCAGAAAAATCAAAGCTCAATGCTGATAATAAAAATGAAAAACAAGAAAAAATAAAATTAAAAATGTAAAAAAATGCAAAGGATAATCACAAAATAACATTCGAAAAGAAAAGGAAAAACAAAACGCACGAGAAAACTGTAAGGTGCCGGCCGTTTTAATTTTAATAATTTCATATTTATTGTATGTTTTTATGCCATCTCTGCAGCATACAATTTTTTCAATTCAATGATTTTTTTTTTTTTTTGTTGAAACCTTAAGTACCCTACATTCTTGTATAATTTTTTGTAAAGTTCATCGATGCACAGAAAATCAAAACGAAATAAATATCTAAAAAATCTTAATACACTAATTTTAAATTTTATTTTTTTTTTTTGCTTCTTAACTTAAAAGCTAATGGAATGAAAAAATAAAATTTATAATAAAAATACGCCAAAAAAAAAAGTTCAACAATAATCACTAAAAAAAACTACAACAACAACAAAAGAGTCATGATATAAGTAAAAATATAAAAAAAAAACGCTTAAAAAATAAAACAAAAATACTAAAAAAAAAAAACCATTATGAAGACAATAATAAAAATGTAATTTTTATTTCACGGCTTTAAAATGATGTTTATGGCTCATGATGTCAATTTAATTATGACTAAAGAGTTTTGTTTTTCAATTTGTAAATTACTTAACTTAATAAATTACTTTTTTTTTTCCATATACACAACTTACATTATCCGCTATAAGTATTTACATATACAGTAGAGTCTCGGTTAGTATCACATCGCATAAAATTCTCAAAATTTAGTGATGTTAATCGAGTTGTGAAAATAAAAACAAATGATCCGTTTTTATATCACATTTTGTGAAAATAGATGAAGTTTTTTTTAAGAGCCTGATCGTGTTATCTCATTATTTTACTCACTAAATGAGAAGACAGTGAATATACAAAATTTATTCATTTTGTTTTCAAAAGTGAGACGTTTATTTCATAATTTGAGAAAAAATGCAAATATCCAATTAAAGAAATAACTTACGTTATTGGGAAAATTAAATATGTGTTACGATTAGGGCCTAATTTTCCAATACTTAAAAAAATTAATTGGAGTCAAAATAATTTTTACAATTATTATTCATATATACAATAAATTTTATATTTTATAATATAACTTGAGTTTATTAAATATTTGGCTGAAAAGAAAAGAAATGGATACTGAACATAAATGTAGTCTAAAGAGTTGACATTAAATTAAATATGACAATATATATTAAAATTGAGATTACATAGAAAAAAGAAAAATGCAGATAAAATTATTTGATTGGCAAAAATATTAAAATTATTTAACAATTTTCAATAAATATGATTTTAAACGACAACGACATTTTACTCTAAACAAAAAAAATTGAACATTTCCAAAAAAAAGAATCAACGATTTTAGGCGAATTTGTAAAAATAAAAGAGTTACCATTATCCGATTACAAACAAATATAGCACTATATATAGAAATTTTTGAGTCATGACATTTATTTAAAAATGAGCGGATTGTGATGCTAGTCGATGTAATTTTATGCGGATTCTACTGTTTGTGTATGTATACATATTAAAGATAAAGAAATAATAAACAAGAAAGCAAATTGGTATAGGCAAACAAATAATCAAAATAAAGAAAAAATAGTAATAACGAAAACAACAATAAAAAAAAAATTGTCAAAAATAAAATTGTATAAAAATAAAAAATACCATGTAAGCAAACATACTCGCGCACACGACATTTATAATTTTCTAATAAAGCGGTTGGTAATTTTTGTTTACCATATTTTTATGTACTTATATTTAAAATAAAAAAGATTAAAGCTTTTAACTGATTTGTAACATTTTGCTTACAAAAAAAAAATTTTAGTTTATGATAATTGAAATTTTTTTTTACAATACAAATAATTTCCATTTAAAAATTCATAACGGTTTAAAAAAATTTGCAATTAGGTTATAAATGGAACGTTAATTTTTTAATACTTCAAGGAAAAAAAATTAGAGCCATCTATCGGTCGGTATAAATAAATTCATTGTTATTGCATATATGCATTGATATTTTGCATAAATGTCAAATAAACTTTTCCGTATCAGCATTATATAAATTCCCAATTTTTTATAGAAAATATTAACGAAAGGATGAAATTATTCTTTCGTATCATTCTATGATTTAGATTATACATTACTCTGTCTTTATGATTCGGTGATAGCAATAAGTTTCAGTATTGATACGAGCGATACTGTAGTAAAATTTTTGGAATACAATAAGATTGTATTGCAAACTCTTAAAATCTCTATATATCCGTGTCTATTATTCGAAATTATTCAAATTTAAAACTGTATGACGTTAAGCATTGAATTAATTTTCCGAATTTTGACGTATTCGTTTCAAAAAAATGAACATTTCTGATGTTTGTTAGCTGTAGGGTTATATTGGCCATATATTCCCTAAATGTATTAACTAAAAGGTTAATTTCATATTAAAATTAAATTAATAATATCAGTATCATTTCATTTTAGTGTTACGCCGTTTGGTAACACAAGAATATTTCGTTACGAAATAAGGAAATGGAAAAAAAAAATCATTTTCTGACATAAAAAACAATGTATAACCTTAAATTTACGATTTGTAACGCTAATAATGCACAAATATACATACATACATACATTATGGGCTAACAAATAAGTGTGTATAAATTGAAAACTTATTTTGGCCCAAAAACGGCGTCCAAATTCTTTTTTAAAATTTCAAAAAAAAAAAAAATTATTTTTACGTTAAATTTCCATTTAGCAAATTTTTTCGATTTCTTTTCTTATCAATGAAAAGGAAAAAATAAATTTATTTTTATTTTTTTTTTTTTGTTAGTCATTTGCAAAGAATTTTATATTTATTTGATTAAGAATGAATAAAAGATAAATTCAAATTTTTGATTGCGAAAATTATATTCCCTTTTAAACATGACGTGTACAAATGAAAGAAATTCGACAACGACTCGACAATGAAACAACAGAATGTTAAAGAACGTTATAAAGAAATTATTTCAGCTTTATAATAAAATTGTAGAATATATTGCAGCCTATGAACTTAAAATTAAGCATTAGAAGTATCTACAATTTGTAGTTATCTAGTAGTAGGGAGTTCCAATGAAAAAATTATCTACCGTTTAGGCAATTAATTTTATGTAATTCATTATTTTCTGTGTTGGAATATATTAATTTTTTTACAAAATCAAATAAAATCATAGCTAAATTTAATTAATTTTTTCTTTTATTATTTTTCAGGTAAAAGTCACTGTTTTAGATAAAAATGATAGTCCACCAATTTTTCGTGATATACCATTGATTTATAATGTTAGTGAAGATTCTGGTGTTGGACATTCAGTTGCAACAATAAGAGCATATGATCCAGATATTAAAGGAACTTTAACATATACAATGATTGATGGAGATGATGGAAAATTTATTTTAGAACCAGATACTGGAAAATTAATATTACGTGATGCATTAGATAGAGAATCAAAAGAAATTTATAAAATAAAAATTCGTGTAACAGATGGTATTCAAAGTTCTGAAACAATAGTTAATGTTCAGGTAATTAAATTATTAATTAGAAACTATTATTAAAGTATTAATTAAGTACCCATTTCATTTTGCATATTTATTTGTTATTATTTATGAAAGTTCCTGACCAAAAAAAATTTTATTTGAATAAAATTTCTAAATATTTTGAATATGCTCAATCAAAGAATAGCTAATCAAGACTCTAAAAATTTCAATTATTGACAGTAAACCATGCTACTAAAACTATAAAGAGTTTTTGAATTACACATGGTAAATTATTTTTTTTTAATTACTTAAATTTTTCTTCTTTTATTAATTTCCCAAAAATAAATTGATCAAAAGTAAATAATTTTATGTAATAAAATCTGTACATTTTTTAATGTTGTGAATTTCTCACTCAAATTACAGAAGCAAGATATGCCATTTCACAAATCGTTGCTATGATCGATTGTAAAGTTTTGTAACAAAAGATGTCCACGCACTAATTTTTGTAAGAGAGAAAATTAACGCTCAAAAAACAAGAGTTTCTTTGTTTAAATTCTCTTCTTTTAAAATTAAGTTTAAATTCTCTTCTTTTAAAATAAGTTTTCATTCGATATTGTTTAACAAATATACCTTTTCAGACTGAATCATACCCTATATTACAAGTTCATCCCCTAACATCTTCTGATATTAAAGATTTTTCGTAGATTTTTTAATAATCTTTTGTTGACAGGCCAATTAACTACTGGAGAAAGCCAGGCTACCCATGTAAACGTCTAGAATAAAATTACAAAGCTACGCTTAATTTTCTAAAAAATTGATTTAAATTTTATTCTTTCAATTTTTTTTTTAAAATAAAATTCATACTAAATGAAGAATTCATTATTTTTGAAAAGCATTGCCAAAAAAAAAACGCATTCTCATCAATGCAATAAAAAATCTTTAGAAAACGTCAACTTACATAAAGTTTTTTTTTATTTTTATCAGATATTTTGTATCTCTGTACTTTTATCCTTTAGCAAAATTGAAATTATTCTCCTTAATCGGTATAATATCAAAAATCCAAGAAATTTACATATTTAAAACGTTATTTTTAATTTATTTTTTATGTAAATTTTTTTTTTTTTTTGCTTATTATTTTCAATGTAAAATAATTTTTATTAAGTACTTTTAATGTAAACTTACAAAATATGTTTTTTGTAAAATCAAATTTGTTGGACATATACAAAATTCTAAACACGTTTAAACGATTTTCTTTTCTTATCTTAATATCCCTAGTATTATCAAAAAAAAAATTAATGCTCAATTTCCTTGTATGCATATTATCAACAACAAAAAAAAAATTTATTTAATATCTTATAAATATAATTAATAACGTTAATTTAAGAATGAATGATGAAAAAATAAAAAATTATTTGCATATATGGTACATTCCCAAAAAAAAAAAAATTTAAAGAAAAATGTGTCTATTAGTTTTACTCTGTTTGTTTGCCTGTACATCTTTTCATGAATCTTTAGAAAGATTAAATTACAAATACATTTAATGAATCTTCCGTGTTACAGCTTTTAAAAATTATGGAATTGCAAATTTTTGACAAACTACTTTGTTTAAAGCTAAAGAAATTTAAATATTCTGTATGAAAATCAAAAATTATGTGTAATTTTTCTATTAAAATTTACTATAAGGAAATGTCACATTTTCTTATTGACACTCAAAATTAACCGTTATCTCAAACAGATTTTTCGATAATTTCTTGAGCAATGTTTCTCTTACTCAGCAACTTAGATGTTTCTAAAATTTCAACAGCTTTTAGATATCAAATCCATCAATATTATATTAGAACAAAATTGCTTTACATCTTCGAAATTTATACAAAATTATACGGTAAGAAGAGAATTATTTCAATAGATTCTCTTCAATACATATGTAGCTCTAAAGCTATGCAAAAATACAATTTCTAAACTGAAATTTTCAAAAGCAAATGTGCTAGTTTACAAATCATGGGTTTGATTGACTATACATTTTTTATTTTCTTTCTTACTTTTTAAATTAGCTACACATATGTTTAATAAAGATTCTTAAATTTCATTCATATAAATCTGTTAAATTATAAATTATATACAAAATATTTATAAAATATATTGAGAAAAAATATGAAAGAAAAAACAAAATAATTTTTCTTCTTCTTCTTTTTTTGTTCTCTCTCTTAAATCTAATACAGATCCCTAATTTTGATAAATTAAACATGTTTATTAATTATATATTTTATAAATTTTCTTTTCAACTGACTTAAGGGTAACAATTTAACAAAGATCTTTATAATAAATAATTGTACACCAATATAACTCTAATATATTTTTTATATATACCCATCATACAGATATGTATAAGTTTGTATAAAATGTTTATATATAGTTACATTTTGATTGACTCGTTTAAGCTTCAGCTCTTTTCTTTTTTATTTTTTAAATTCTTATGTTATTTTCATTTTAAAGCTTTAGGCGATTAATAATGGTTTTTAAGAAAAAACATTTTTTTTTTTTTATAAAAATTTCTATACATTATTTTACATAAACTCTACAGTATACTTAAATATAATATTTATAGTAATATTTTTAAATGTACATTATCGGACAAAAATAAATGGATATTTTTTGAATAAAAAAAAAAATTGTTAAAATAGCACTGTTAATCAAATTCGTTTTAAATCAATATTGTGAATTGAATAAGCTGCCGATTTCATCAAGAAATCTTTATTGAAACTTTATTAAAATCGGGAATGTGAAAATTTTATATTTAAAATTTATAAAAATTATTCTCCTTTCTTTCAAAAAATTAATTCAAAAATTATATTATAATCATTAATTATTTCAAATCTTCATAATGCCGATTTGAAAATAATATAATGAACTATTGATTTACGACATCTACATTAAAAAATTAAAAATTTGTTAGTACGCTGTTGTTGCGCAAAATATCAGCTAAATTAAAACTTTTTATATAACAAGAAATAATTTTAGATGATTCGCCAATATTATAAATTTTCCATTTGCAAAAAATTCCATTTAAGCTCAAAAAAAATACCATTTTAATTAAATGCAGTAATTTCACCCAGTAAGACAATGTGACCAACAAAATTCAATTTATTTACATAATCTATTTTTGAATTATTAATTAAATTAGTCTCTAAATGATGCTTTTCAGTTTTTATGTTTGAAAAATTCTCCAAATCCTTCAAATATTTCGTAAATTCTCCAAATTCCTTTCGTTGTGATTTTTTTATCACTGAAAATTAATTCTCTCTTTAATTTAATACATATAACACTAGCTAAAGTACTAACTGCGAAGTACAATAAAATTATTCTACTCAAAATTTTGCCTATTATTTTATACAAACTCTTAAATCGCGATTCATGCGTGCAGTTAAAAATAAAATATCAATTAAAATGGAGTGAAACCATCTGGGGCTTTACTGTATGTATTGAATATATTGTCTCTAAATTATAAATATGTCAAAAAAATTTAAATTTACTTTTTCTACTTCTCACTATAAAAATTTTTCAAAAAATTAACTTTACTCCATGTAATTTTATAATTTAATTAAAAATTTTTATTTTATGCAAGTGCATACATAAATATAAAATATAAAGAAGTGCATATAAGAACTGAAACGGAGAATATGTAAATTGTAAAGAAGCATGTATATATATGTAATTATATATGTATGTATAAATGAATGTATATAATAATACTTCATTAAAGTAACATTTTCATCAAAATTTATTTTTTTTTTTTAAAGTTTCTTTGTTCACATATTGCTCTAATTTTCCTTTCAAGACAATATTTTTTATAGCCTTGGGATATGACATTTTTCTTCTTTTAAAATTCAAGAAAAAAAAATAAAATATAAGAAAATGTATAGAATAATCTAATTAATCTTCGAAAGAAGCACTATTGAATTATAACAGATTTAAAAATAAATTTAGTTTTGAAAGAACAGGTTTCTTTAAATTAATTATAGGAAGCTTAACTATACCAAGACCACATAGTTAAGCTTCCAAAACATCATCATATACAGAAAGATGGTTTTTTCACACAAAAAAGAACAGCAACAAACAACAACAACGATAATTTTGCATTCTTTTTAAGTTCCGTTTTGAAAAAAAAATTTCTTTCATGAATATTGATTGATGAGCACTTATGTAAATTTATGTATACGTACAAAAATACATACATATGTATATATACTTTTAAGAATTATAGTTCGATAACATGAATGCAAGAATAAAACAGAAAAGCAGTTTTCTCAACTTATCTTTTATAACAAAAATTTTTATTTTTCACAAACATGAAACTTTAAAATTTTGTAACATGTGTCAAATTCATTTTGGTCTTCTTATAATGCAACAACAACAAAAATGAAAAATGTCAATAAATAATTTTCAGGTCAGCAACAATTATTTTAATTGTTATTGCATTATTGCTATATTCTATATACTTTTATACATACTTATATAATATTGTAATATTCGAAAAACTGGGAAGGACAAAAAACCCAAATGAAATATTTTATAAATCAAAATTCCTCTTAATAAATTAATATTTTAGAATCATATACCCAGTCATAAACCAAAAAAACAGAAAAAAACTTCTGTCAAATTATCATTGTGGTATTAACGCCTTTTTTTTTTGTTATTCAAATTTTAGGTTACAGATACTAACGATAACCCACCAACATTCTCTGAAGCTGTATATTCATTTGATGTACCAGAAAATGCAGTACGTGGTTATCAAGTTGGTAAAATTATTGCAACTGATCGTGATCTTGGTGATAATGCAATTATAACTTATTCTGTAATATCGGATTGGGCTAATGATGTATTCAATTTACATCCTCAAACTGGAGTTTTCACATTAACTGCAAGATTAGACTATGAAGAGGTAATTATTTTTTATGATATTATTATTTAAAATTGTAACTTTAAGAAATATTAATGTAATTATAATGATAAATTAAATTTCTGTTAAGATACAAGCCAATAAAATCAAAAATCATACTGTTTTTAGGTTCAACATTATATTTTAGTAGTTCAAGCACAAGATAATGGTCATCCAAGTTTATCTACGACAATAACAGTTTATTGTAATACAGTTGATTTAAACGATAATGCACCAATTTTTGATCCTATGAGTTATTCGAACGAAATTTTCGAGAACGTTCCGATTGGTACGAATGTTATTACAGTTACTGCAACAGATATTGATTCAGGTATACGATATAAATAATTTAATTTTTGATTTTGTCATCAAATTTTCGCTGTTATTAAATAATGTTTTTTATACAGGCTTTAATGGGCAAATTGAATATTCGATCATTGCGGGTGATGATAAAAATGATTTCGATATCGATCAAAACGGCACAATACGAACAAAACGTACTTTAGATCGGGAAACTAAAAATTCCTATAATATGATAATAGCCGCGAAAGATTGCCCCTTGGAACCACAACAACGTCTTTCTTCTACAGTTCAAGTAAGTTTAATTTTTGTTTTGGCTTGCGAAATTTTCATTAAATTGCAATATTTTATAGGTAACGGTAATAATTAAAGATATTAACGATGAATCACCAGTATTTATTTCATCGAATGAAACAAGTATAATTGAAAATACACCATTAAATACTATAGTTATGGCATTAAAAGCAATCGATCATGATGAAGGACGCAATGGATACATTGAATATCAGTTAGTTAATCCAGAATCTAATATACCATTTAGTTTAGGAGCTGTTGATGGTCTTCTTAGAGTATCAGGACATTTAGATCGTGAATTAAAATCAAAGTATATAATTGATGTTAGAGCAAAAGATCGTGGTGAACCACCAAAATCAACACAAACACAAATCATAATAAAAATTCTTGACGAAAACGATAATAGTCCAGTATTTGATCCAAAATTATATAGTGCATCTGTTGCTGAAAATGCTAGTATTGGAGCAATGGTATTACAAGTTTCAGCAACTGATATAGATGAAGATGCTAACGGACGTGTACGTTTTATGATTGCATCAGGTGATGAAAATCGTGATTTTAGTATAAGTGAAGATTCTGGTGTTATACGTGTTGCAAAAAATTTAAATTATGAAAGAAAATCACGTTATGTATTAACGGTTCGAGCAGAAGATTGTGCAACAGAAGCATTAGAAAATGAATTGAATGCATGGAGTAAAAATGGTGGTAAAAATAATGTTGGTAATAGCAATACAAATAATAAATTAAATAATAAAATTTCAAATAAAAGAAATGAAAATAATAAAATATCAAATAAAAATATTTTACCAAATGGTGAAAATGTTGGTAATAATAATGATAATAATGATAATAATGGTAATATTCTAAGAAGATATGATACTGCAGAATTAACAATTGTTATTACCGATATTAATGATAATCCACCAACATTTTTAGATTCACCATATTTAGCTAAAGTTATGGAAAATATAATACCACCAAATGATGGTTATGTTATAAAAGTTAAAGCATTTGATGCTGATACACCACCATTTAATAATCAAGTTCGATATTTTTTAAAGGAAGGTGATGCTGATCTATTCCGAATTAATTCATCAACTGGTGAAATTTATTTACAAAGATCATTAGATCGTGAAATGCAATCCGAATATATTTTAACTATTGTTGCAATGGATACTGGTAAGTAGAAAAATTATTTTTCATAACATTTATATCTCATACATTACAAAACTTATAGAAAAAAAAACGTAGTACATAATAATAAATTGTGTTGTAAATGTCTTTGACTTGTAGTCTTGTAGTCTATTCATAAACCGGTTTGATTTCTATACATTCAATTTTTGCCAATAAAATTCTCTAATAATTAATTACAAAACTATTATGTTAAAGTAAAATTTTACAGTTATAAACTTATATAAAATTATATGACATTTCCAATGAATTTCAATGAATTTTAGTTTCAAATAATATTTAATAATTATATTGAAATTTAACAAAATACAAATAATTATAAACTAATGTAAAATATTGCATAAAAGTCGGTTTATTCCAAAATAAAATAATAACATTTTGTTAATAATTAAAAATTGTGAATTATATATTATTTTCATTCACGTTAGCATTGTGAACTTCAACTCTTAATGAACTTTAAATGCCTCATATAATTTAAAAAAGAGAATTTTTCGTATAGCTAGCTCGAAAAAAAGCAATTCTTACTTGAATAAAATTTTAAAAAATCAAAAAACAATTAATAATAATTTGACTGATTTTTATCTTAATCGGAAATTAAAGAAATTTTCTCTTTTAATTACAATATTTTAATTTTAATTTTAAATTATTTTAAATACAGATTTTTTTGTGATTAATAAGAAATTACAACAAAAACAAAAGGAGAAATGAAAATTTTATAAGATTTTAAAATTCCATGCTGAGAGTGTCATTCAATTAGTATTTTATATAATTATTATGATAATTTGTATGTCATAACCATTAAATATTATTAATATTTCGAATAATTTATTTTTATTTAATTTAAACAAAAAAAAATTTCTCTTTCAAAATCAAGATTTTCATTATAACTTTTTTTTTATTCTACATTTAATTTTTTTTTTGTTAATTTTTGTTTTTATTTTTACTAATAAATGTAAATTTTTGTTTTAAATAAAATAGAAAGGTAGTTGTGAAATACTCGTAAGCATTTTGTATGAGTATTGCCATGCAGTTACATAAAAATACATGCTAAAACTTAAAATATTTAAATGACAATGTAAAAAATATACTTATGTATTATAAAAAAAAAAGAAAGAAAATTCAAAATTTGAAATTTTTCTTTATTTTTTTTTATTATTCTATAACAATTTGGCTTATCATATCAAAAAGAAAAATTCCTTTCGAATTTAGTAACAACAACAAAAATATAAATGGAAAACCTCATTCTACTGTTGTAATCATTTTTCGTACTGATAATCTTCATTTTCCACTATATGTCCAAAAAGAATTTAGTTTATTTCGACCCGGAAATAAGGCCTATTAATTTTAATTTTAATTTTTTTTTTTTTGTACATTTATTTCTGCTTTCTTTTTTTTTTTTATTACAAACAATAGCAAAAATTTTCCAGCTCTTAACAATTTCTATATAATTTAAAGGTTTCCCACCATTAGAAACGCAAAACTTATGTATACATTTTTGTTCATACATTTTGTATGTATGTTAACAAAAAAAAAAAAAAGCAAAAATAATAAGAAAAAATGCCATAAGCCTAGATAGAAAATATGAAGCGATACAGAAAAAATAAAATAATAAAAAGAAACGGCAAACGCTTCTTTAATACTTTGAACAATACTTGTAATGCATTCCATTGCAAAATGGACCTTACCAATACCATAACACGAAAAAAAAATAAAGAGAAATGAACAAAAAAAAAAGACAAGAAATTGTTACTAAAATGAAATGGCATTATTAATCTCTATTGTTTTAAGTGCAGTTTTTACATAACGCAAAAACAATTTAACGCATTTTTTTTCTCTGTTACAACAAGGGATACCAGATTCACCGTGTTCCAATTGCCATATTAATTCATATGCATAATATCAACCCCAATTTTTTTTTTTTTCATACTTTTTTTCGTATTTTCTTCTTATTTATTTTTAATTTATTTTTCTGTAAAATGCATTCAAGTTTCTATTTATAATCGGTAACTCTTGCAGCTACTTACGGCGATTTATATGGAATCCAATCAACAAATAAACAAAAACAATAGTTTTATGACCATGATTTATTTGACGAACCTGAACATTGAGCTTTTATTTATTTTATAAAATTCTAAAATAATCATGAAAATCACACACAACGACTTTTGTCTTTGAATTAGGAAGTGAAACAAGTATATTGAATCATCGTAGCATTAATTAAAACTAAATTTCCAAATCCCTTGCATTCCTTTTACATGTTATAGTATATTATAACATTGATTGAACACCACACCTTAGCCTTGCTCACTTACTTGATAATTTCAATTTAAAAGAAAATAACACTAATTTTTTTTCTTTTTGAAGAAATCAATCTGGCAACTTTTATAATAATATCGGTAAATTCTTTAACGTTTTTATTTTTGTTTCTCTTTAAATATTTTTATTAATTTTTTTTTTCCTGTTTTTCTGCGATTTTACCAATTTACTTGGGTTTGATCTATACACATAACTAAAAAGACCAGTGGCGCATTGCATCTCATCTCATCTATTTCTTAAAATGTTCTAGAAATAACACCAAAAACATATGTACATATTTTACAAGGCATTGAAATAGTAGCATCCACCTTAACAGCTAAAATACAGTTGTGTTTATCAATGTTGTTGACCAATTCAAAAAAAAAAGAAACTGAAAAAAAAAAACGAAACAACAACAACAAAATAGAATATTCATTTTTTTTTATCTTTTTTTGAATTTGTTTTATTTCTCTTTCTATCTTCCTTTTTATGCTGCATTTGGTATGCACATTATGTACATATATGTGTCTCTTTTCTTCATTTTTGAAGAGTTGATGTTGAAAGTTTTTCGCATTTTCTTCATATTCGTAAAATGTTATCTTGATTACACGCGGTTATATTACATAAAAATAGAAAGAAATGCATAAAAATACAAAAAAAAAGTTTAACAACAGAAACTTTTGCGCACATTTTCTTCTTATTTCATTTCTGTATGCTGCTGTTGCTCACTAACAAGCTAAAAAGATGCTTTTTATAGCGCAAAGTTAACTGAAATCAACTTTCTGTTGTATTTTCTTCTCTGATCATATCAGTTGAACTGAAATTGTCTTTTTGTCTTTTCTACGCGGAAATGAAAAAACTAAACGAACGAAAAAAATAAAATTTATTTCTACTAAAAAAAAATTTAAAAAAAAAAGCAAAAACAAAAAAATTATAGCATTTTTACTTGAACTATAAATTTCAAAAAGAACAAACAACAACTAAAAAATAATAACAGCAATAAGCCAAACCAAAAACAAAATCGTTTGTTTCGCATTCTGCTGTGCACTATTTGATTTTATGCTATGTTATTTCAGAGATAAATCATATACCAATAAATTGTATGTCCACTCTGTTTATATATTATCCTCATCTAAAAAAAAAAATTCTTAAAGGGCGGTAATAGACAACAAAACAAAAACAAAAACCAAAACCTTCATAAGAAAAACAAAAGCCATCACTATCAAAATAAAACAATACAAAAAATTAACAGCAAAATAATAAGATAAAATGCTAGAATAAGAGATAAAAAGCTTAAACATTGTAGGCGCTTTTAACCTCACGAAATTAATGTTATTAACGACAATAAACTCTCATGAAAGTTAAAATTTTGTAGGCGATTTACACGCTTATTAAGAGCTCGTTAATTTCCTAAAAAATGCAATAACAACGACAATATTCTATTATTAGAGATCAGAAATAATGTGAAACCATCATCGCATCAGCGATATGATATGGCGATACTTGAATTTAATATTTCCTTCAAAATTAGTTACAATACATGCGATATACGAACGTTCTTTTACCCATATTTATACAAAAAAAAAAAATAACAATGACTTTAAAGATAATGTCATGTCAAACTTTTAAATAATAACCAACAAAAAAAAAATTTTATTTGCTAGTAAAAGAAAGAACATTCATTATTTTTGTATTTTCCTATTGCACATGGAAAATACAAAAGTACTGATTTAAGATAGCTATTTGCTTTCCTAACATATGCACATACGTAAAGAATATATATATATTGATAAATATAATATAAACCATATTTTTTCTTTTAAAATTTTAGGATCACCCCCATTAACTGGTACTGGAATTGTTAAAATAATTGTGCAAGATATGAATGACCATAGTCCAGAATTCGAGAGACAATCATATTACGTGACAGTACGAGAAAATTCACCTATAAATTTAAAAATTTTGCAACCACTTGCAATTGATAAAGATTCCGGATTAAATGCAAAACTCAAATATTATCTTAAAGGTGATAAAGTTGACCGTTTTAAAATAAATTCAAATACAGGGGAAATAACAACAGCAGCAGTATTGGATCGAGAAGAAAAATCAATATACTATTTAACGTTAATAGCACAAGATAGTTCACCAATTGAACAACGTTCAACATCCATAAATATTACAATTAAAATTGATGATGTTAACGATAATTCACCACAATTTAGCAAGAAGAAATTCGAAATTAATTTACCAGACCGTATAAAGGCGAATGAATTTGTTTTTGGAGCTGAAGCTACAGATATTGATACAGGTGACAATAGTAAAATAACGTACTCAATAAGTGGTCGTGATGCTAACATATTTACAATTAATAAATTAAATGGTGTTATCAAAACAAATATACAACTTTCATCAGATACACTTGGATTTAATTTCAATTTAATGATACATGCTGAAGATCAAGGTATTGAAAGGAAAACAGCAACAGCAGAATTAGCACTTTTATTGCAACCAGCAAATTTATTTCCACGTTTTTCCTATATATCAAATATACAATTTGTTTTATCAGAAGATGTTGTAGAAGGTCACACAATAACAAAAGTTACAGCAACATCACCCAAAACTGGTAGTGCAAGTAACATAAAATATTCGTTTGCTGGTGGTAACGTTGGTAATGCACTAAATATTGACACAAACACAGGTACTGTATCGGTGGGATCAACTGGTTTGGATTATGAAGAAATGCATCAATATGAGATATGGGTACAAGCTGCTGATTCTGATGAGCCTGCCCTAAGAAGTGTTATGTTAATAATTGTAAATGTAACTGATACAAATGACAATCCACCAATAATGGAAAAAATGCTTTACAATACTGAGGTATTAGAAGAAGAAACTCCGCCACAATTTATTATTAAAATAAAAGCATCTGACAAAGATTCTGGAGTTAATAGTGAACTAACTTATCGTTTAATTGATGATCATGAAGGAATTTTCGAAATAGATGCCGATACTGGTGAAATTTATACAACAACAAAATTAGATCGAGAAGATATTGCCATGTATGAACTAGATGTAGAAGCAGTTGATCAAGGAATGCCACAACTAATCGGAAAATCTACTGTTATTGTTAAAGTTTTAGACAAAAATGATAATCCACCGAGATTTACACGATTATTTAGCGTTAACGTTACAGAAAATGCTGAGATTGGTAGTTTTGTTATTAAAGTTACTTCATCCGATCTTGACGTTGGCATAAATGCTAATGTGTCATATACATTTGCTCAAAATCCTGGAAATAAATTTTCTATTGATTCAATATCTGGAAACGTGACTGTTTCTGGAAATCTAGATCGAGAAATACAAGATGAATATATATTGAAAGTTACAGCGTCTGACGGTGCATGGAGAGCAGATACTCCAATAACAATTACAATACAAGATCAAAATGATAACGCACCTGAATTTGAACATAACTATTATAGTTTTAGTTTCCCTGAATTACAAACAGCGACATCATTTGTTGGACAAGTGATCGCAACAGATCGTGATAAACAGGGCCCGAACTCCGTCATATCATACTCTTTTAAACAGCCATCAGATTTCTTTATTATCGATCCGGCAACTGGAGAAATATTTACGAAACGATCAATTCAATTTAAACATTCTCAGATAAAATCATCCCCCGAAAATACATATTCATTGAATGTTTTAGCAACAGATAATGGAAAGCCACCAATGTATTCTGAATGCTTAGTCAATTTAAATGTTGTTGATGCCAACAATAACCAACCAAAATTCACTAAAAATAAATATTTATCACCAGTACCTGAAAACGCTAAAGTTGGTCAAAAAGTTAGCCGTGTTGAAGCTACTGACGACTTAGATTATGGTGTAAATGCTGAAATCGATTATATGATAACTGGTGGAAATGGCTCCTCATGGTTCTCTATTAACAAACATGATGGTTGGATTACCGTTTCCAGAAATATTATTGCAATGGACAATACTCTCTATGTTATCAATGTTCGTGCTACAGATCATGGTGTACCACCCAAATATGATGAAATTTCTGTTGAATTAATTGTTTCTGGAGAAAATTTATATACACCTCAATTTACAGCTCTCAGTTATCAAGTAATAGTTCCAGAAAACGAACCCATAAACTCAACAATATTAACCGTAAGTGCATCAGATCAGGACCACGGCCCTAATGGCATAATACGTTATTCAATATTAAGTGGGAATGAGAAGAAAGAATTCTCAATTAATTCGGAAACTGGAGCAGTTACAATATCACAAGCTTTGGATTATGACACTGTTCAGGAATACCATTTAAATATTACTGCTAAAGATTTAGGATTCCGTCCAAAAGAAGCAATCGCGATGTTGACTGTGATATTGACGGATGTTAATGATAATGCACCACAATTTGACGCAGTTGAATATCATGCATATATAGAAGAAAATAAACCACGAAACAGCTTTGTCTTCAAAGCTAAAGCCACAGATAAAGATTCACCAAAAAATGCAGTAATTCTTTATTCTATAACTGGTGGAACAGGAAGAGATATATTTGCAATAGATTCGAAAACAGGTGTTATCACTTCATTAGTCAGCTTCGATTATGAGGAACAAAAATTGTATTCTTTGCAAATACGAGCAGTTAATCCTGATTCGCCAATGTCGAATTCAACCAAAATAACGGTTCATATAGTTGGTGTAAACGAATATTTTCCCAGATTTATTCAACCCGTTTTTCATTTTGATGTTTCAGAATCTTCTGAAATAGGATCATTTGTTGGAACCATTCAAGCGGTCGACAAAGACGCTGGTGACGACGGCAAAGTATATTACCTTCTAGTGGGCTCTTCCAATGACAAAGGATTCAGCATCAACCCAGTTAGCGGAAAAATTACAGTTTCACGTATTTTAGACAGAGAAACTCAAAGTAGAGTAGTATTAACAGTAATGGCGAAAAATCAAGGTGGAATTCGTGGGAACGACACTGATGAAGCCCAGGTCATTATTACAATTCAAGACGGAAACGATCCGCCAGAATTCACACAACCAGAATACACAGCAAAAGTATCTGAATCTGTGTCGATTGGTACTAAAATTGTACAAGTTAAAGCTATTGACAAAGATATTCGGCCACAAAACAATCAATTCAGTTACTCCATTATCAATGGAAACATAAATCAAGCTTTTAAAATTGAGCCTCAGACAGGCGAAATTGAAACAGCTAATCAATTGGACAGAGAAAAAACCGATACATATAACTTAATTATTGGAGCAATAGATACTGGACTTCCACCGCAAACTGGTACAGCAATGGTAAAAGTACAAGTTCAGGACGTCAACGATAATGGCCCTATTTTTGAACCAAATAATTTAATAGGATATATATCTGAAAATGAACCTACTGGAACATCAGTTATGACTCTTCAGGCTAGTGATCCAGATCTCCCTCCAAATGGTGGCCCATTTACATATTATTTGACCGGAGGTAAACATAGATCGTTTGTGAATGTGGACAAATATACTGGCTTAGTGAGAACTCTACAAAGTGTCGACAGAGAAACAACGCCAAAACTTGAATTTAAAATCGAAGTTGAGGATAATGGCACTCCTAAAATGAGATCTCAACATATAGTTAACGTTAATGTTTTAGATCAAAACGACAACCCATCTTCACCAAGATCCGTAACTGTAATGGTGATGATTTTAAATAGAAATGTTCCAAATACTAAAATTGCAGATATACATCCAAATGATCCTGATATAGTTGGAGATTATAAATGTCGTCTTAATTCAAACAATGGAAGTCCAAATTTTCATAACTATTTTACAATACCAAGTAAATGTGATTTATATTCAACGTCAAAAATAAATCCTGATGTCAGTTATACGTATTCCATTCTTGGAAACGATGGACTACATGGCGATGTTTCATCAACTGTAAGCATAGAATTCAGTTCATTCGACAATGGTACCATTGCAAATTCTGTAACAATTCGTATAGAAAACGTAACAGCTGAGAGTTTTCTATCAATGCATTATCACAATTTCATTGAATTAATTAAATCTTCCTTAGAATATGGGGATCAATTAGTGCTTTACAATATAAGAAAACTTGACAATACCACCAGTTTTGAAGTTTATATAGCTGTAAGAGCAGCCAATTTGAATTATCGCCCCAAATCTTATGTTGTAGAACGACTAAACATTAAGCATGACTCATTGGTAAAATTACTCCAATTGCAACCCGAAAATGTTATCATTGGTTATTCCCCGTGCTCTGGAAAAAGTTCCAACACTTGTAGTAATAATGGTGTGTGTACAGAATCGATGCGTTATAATGACAGTCCCGAAATGTTTTACAACATCATTGATAGCAAAAAATTAATTTTTTCTGCACCGCCAATAGCTCATGATTTTATTTGCAAATGCCCTGAGGGCTTTGTCGGACAACAATGCGAACAAAAGCAAGATCCATGCTCACCAAACCCTTGTCAAGCCAATGCCGAATGCCGTAAGCAAGGAAGAGAATTTCAATGTATATGTCCGGTAAATCGAGAAGGTCGTTATTGCCACCTGGAAAAAGGAGATTTATGTAAACAGAATCCTTGCAAAAACGGCGGGTCATGCCAAGCAAGCCCTGATGGCGTGTCGTACTTTTGTTTGTGCAGACCAGGCTATAGAGGAAATAATTGTGAATACTTAACCGACTCATGCAGACCAAACCCATGCATGCATGATGGTTTATGTGTCAATTTAAAACCTGGTTATAAATGCAACTGCGTCGATGGGCGTTATGGTCGACATTGCGAAAAAACAACATTTGGTTTTCAAGAACTTTCTTATATGAGCTTTCCATCGCTTGATACAGGTACTAATGATATCAGCATTATTTTCGCCACTACAAAACAAGATGCCTTATTGCTGTACAATTATGGTCAACAAAGTGGTGGAAGATCTGACTTTATTGCATTAGAACTAGTGAAGGGAAAAGCAACATTTTCCCTTGGTGGATCGAGAACAGCCATAACTTCTGTTACTATTGGTGATGAAAATCGGAGGTCTGATTGGAATAAAAATTTGGCAGATGGAAGTTGGCATAAAATTACTGCTACGAGAAACGGAAAATTAATTTCGCTCAGCGTTTCAAAATGTATAGAAAACGGTGATGTTTGTCAAGAATGTAAACCAGGAGATAGTCAGTGCTATGCTGATGATATTGGACCTACAGGGTAAGTAAATTGATTACTAATTTAACAATATGGAAAATAGATTTCTACAAAAAAATTTTTGTTTTAGGACTTTAAATTTCAACAAACAGCCTCTTCTAGTTGGAGGTCTCATAACAGCGGATCCTGTATTAGAAAGGCCTGGTCAAATTCATTCAGATGATCTAGTTGGGTGTGTTCATAGTGTTTCAATTAACGGTCGCACCCTTAACTTAAGTAATCCAATTCAATCACGGGGTATTCTTTCTACTTGCAACAGAAAAAATAGTGGAGGCCCTTGTGCACAAGGTCTGCCTGATGATCCAACCCAATCAGTTTGTGGCTCATTCGGAACATGCATTGATCGCTGGAACACAGCTTTATGTCGATGTGGTGCTCATCTATTATCTCCAGATTGTTTTAACTCATTAGAACCAATTTCATTAAGTGACGGAGGATTTTTGGAGTTTAAAATCTCAGAAAAGCATCGAAGAATGCAGCTTTTAGATAATTTATACCATACAAATAATATTTGGTCTTATGATGTAGAAGTGGCTCAGCGTCGTAGGCGTTTTACAATAGATAATAGTAATATTACTGCTTTATCGCAAGTCTACGATCCACCAAAAAGTATGAGTTTACTTTTCAAAACTGTTAGATCAAATGGCTTACTACTTTTCGCTGCTACAAATAAATATTTTACTTCAGTTGAAATTAGAAATGGAAAATTATTCTACAATTCTAAGCAAACAACTGCAGTCAATATGACTATTAATAACCCAGAAACAATATCAGATGGAAAATGGCATAACGTTACTTTATTTGTTGAAAATAGAGTTCTAAGAATTTTAATTGATAACTCAGAAGTTGGCGAAGAATTAGACGCGGCAGGTGTACATGATTTCTTAGACCCATACTTAACAATGCTTTCAATTGGAGGTGTTCGAAGAGAATATATTAACTCAGAAAGTTCTATGGTGCAAACATTTCAAGGTTGTTTAGCTAATTTTACAATTAATAACGAAATTCAACCATTTAATGGATCTGGAAGTGTATTTTTTGAACGATTAACAAGGGGAAGTGTTTTTCAAGGTTGCTTAGACATTGCTGGTGTTGATGTAGCTCAAGTTTCAGATCCCCTAAGCATTGGAATAACTTTAGTTATTGTTTTTTTCATAATATTATTAGTTGCAATTTTAGTTTCTTTTGTGGTTTTTCGTGTTAGAAAACAACAAAAAGAAAAATGTGGTGGACCTGGTGGTGGGCATGTATTACAAGCAAAAACAAGTCACGGTTCAACTCATATAACAAATGGAATTATGTCATCTGGGGTTGACTGTGTCATAACAAGAAATATACACAGTGGTGATGTTAATGTCGGATACCACGTAGAAAATAATGACATCATACGAAGAGGCGGCGAAGGTCATCACTTGGTAGGCCCTGAACTAATATCAAAGAAATTTAAGGAGAGAGATATTAATTCGGGAGAACATCAACGAACTCAACGTCCAGACATAATTGAGAGGGAAGTTGTAAGTAAAAATCCACCTCATAGAGATGAACATCATCAGCCTATACCGCCACCAAATCAACAACTACATCCACGTGATTTACAAAATGGAGCTGTTGATTTAAATTCTGAATATCCAGAACATTATGATCTGGAAAACGCAAGTTCTATAGCTCCTTCGGATATAGATATTGTTTATCACTATAAAGGTTATAGAGAAGGTGGCGGGGTACGTAAATATAAAACAACAACTCCACCGATTGCATCTTTTGCTCACCATAAGCATCAATCAGCAACACAGCAGCAACACCGTCATTCACCACATCATGCTGCTCCATTTGTTCCTAGAGTGCCACCTCAGGGCAATAAATCAGCATCAAGTACACCACGACAACATCAAAGTACACCATTAGCACGATTATCTCCTAGTTCTGAATTAAGTTCACAACAACCTAGAATTTTAACACTGCACGATATATCTGGGAAACCTCTTCAAACCGCTTTATTAGCGACTACATCCAGTTCAGGTGGTGTAGGTAAAGATGTTTTACATAGTAATAGTGAAAGAAGTTTAAATAGTCCCGTAATGTCACAATTATCTGGTCAAAGTTCAAGCGCAAGTCGCAAAAATCCTAGCGTTCCAACTGTAAATTCACAAGAAACAATGGGTTTAACTGCTGACGAAATTGATAGATTAAATGCAAGACCAAGAACATCTAGTTTAGTTTCAACACTTGATGCAGTATCGAGTAGTAGTGAAGCACCACGTGTACCAAATGCTGGACATCATTTATCTTTAAGTGTACATCATTCAACTGTTGATGTAGATGAACATAGTTCAACTTCAACTGATGAAAGCGGTAACGATAGTTTTACATGTTCTGAAATTGAATATGATAATAATAGTTTAAATGGTAATAAATATAATAAAAAAACAACAGAAGATGAACGACGACAAATAAATAGTACAAATGGTTCAAATAAAACACCAATACCACAAGCTCCATCATCATCTTACGGTGGTTTTGATTCATCATTTCGTGGCTCATTAAGTACTCTTGTAGCTAGTGATGATGATATATCAACACATATGGGACGAATATATAATCGTAAACAAAATAATGGTGCACCATCATCTTCAGCAACAACTTTAGGATGGGATTATTTATTAAATTGGGGTCCTAATTATGAAAGTATTGTTGGAGTGTTTAAAGCACAACTACCAGATTCTGTCGTTGATGAACATTTAGCAACATCATTAAGATCACCACCAAATAATGTTACACAGAAACCATCTGAAGAGTATGTTTGAAAAAAATTAATTTTAGGAAATTTATAAAAAAAAATACATATATATACATATATACTAGTACATAAAACAAAAATTTTTTATTTCAATTTTGTTTGAAAAAAAAAAAGATTTCAACAATTGAAATTTTAGTCAATATTTTTGTTAACTTTATAACATAACAAAAAAAAACATAATAATTATATAATATTGTAAATACCATAGTTACTAAAAAATTTTGCATTTTTTTTTTCTTATAAGTTTTATATAAATTTATTTTTTTTCCCATGATTTATATAAATGAAAAAATATGATTTTTATATAAGTAGGATAAAAAATTATTAATACTCAGATAAATTATGATCACCTTGTATCAAGGTTATATTGTTTTTTTTTTTTATATAAACTCTTAAATTAACTTAGCAAAGTAACTAAATTTTACAAGTTTGTAATAAAGTAAATAAAAAAAATAAAAAATTTAAAAATGGTTGATATCTTATGTACAAATAATAATAATTTAATGTTTTCAAAATCATCTCTAAAATATAAAATTATTAGAATTTTGTAGTCTTTTCGCATTCGATTTATTTAAAACACTACTTTGTTATCTAAATTTATATTTATTTTCTATAATTATGTTCTTTACATAAAAGCTCTAAATTATTATAATATTAAATTTATTCTCTTTATAATAATTTTAAATTATACTAATTCTTTATAAATATTTCATCAATTTACTTATTAAATAGCAATTTTATTGTACTTGCAGCAATAAAAATATTACAATTGGTCATTTGAATTTAAGTAAACTTAAAATTATCGGTTTAGATTATGTATTCTAAAAATTTTCTCTAAAAACAATTTTAATTTATCATACATATAATGTACATTAAAAATAACTTGAAACAAATACAATCGTCTAATAAATAGAGCACTGCTTTTTTTTTTGCGAAATGCCAAAGGTGCTTAATTTTTTCATTACCACTTACTTCTTCTATATATGCTACTTTTCAGATATCTATATATTGTAAAAATTTTAATGCTATTTCTTAAAGAATAAGGATAAATTCCTAAATTCAGTAATATTGGTTAGGTATTTAATTTTTCTTCATTTTTAATTACCGAATTTTTCAAATCCTTATTATTAAAATAAAATGTGTTATTAAAGTGAATAGTCTAGACAAAAAAAAATCAATTTATCACAAAGTAAAAGAAAATTTTAAATATTTATGTATTTAAAAAAAAAATTTAGATTATACTTAAAATTAATAAAAAAAAATTATCTAAATTAAAATTATTAATAACAATAAAGAAAAAAATATACAAAAAATGAAGTGAAACTAAATGTATAAAACGAAATCTTTACATAAATGTATTTTGTATTTAATGTTATTTTAAGTAAAAAATTTTCTTATACTTTAATAAAATATTATAATTATATAATTACAAAGAGAACAAAAACAAATATTTTAAAGTGCTATACATACATATATATATATATATATATATATATAATTTACACATATTATGTAAACATAAAAAAAATTATTTTTTCAAAAAAAAAAAAAAACAAAATCCTTTTTCGCCATTACGATAATTTAGTAATGAAAAAAATTAATTTTAACACTACTGAAAATCGTCTTACTTTAAAATAATCTACACTATTACATCAAAAAATAATTATAATGAAAAATTTACAAATTCTTTACATTATCGTACATTAACCTTATATCGTAATTTTAATTCAAAATTGCATTTACCTTTATTATACAAAAGTTTTGTATTAAAAAGTTCATTTTATTAATTAATTTTAATATTAATAAATTGAATTATTTAATACAATTTAATTTTAATTTACTGCCTACGAATATGTATTTTCAAAGAAAACAAAATTGTGACCGTATTTTTTTTATAAGCCTTATATAATTTAAATTAATTAATATCAAAATTATTTCATTTAAAATCATACAATTTAATGGAAATTGCTAAAATGAAAGATATCGTTTAAAAAATGCTATTTTGATTGCTTATAAGCTTATTTCTTGAATACATCCACAATAATTCATTTGCACATTGATTTTTTTCTGAAATATTAACTTCGTTTTATCTTAAACGACTAAAAAATATAAATTTTAATGAGCTAAAAATCATGAGCTTTTCCGTTAAAAATCATGAGCAAAATTTTAAGTTTCTAATTCAAGTTAAATCTATCAAAAGTTTACTTTACCGGCTCCGTATAAAATTATTTGACAAAAACAATAATTCAATAAATAATTTTTTTCATATTTTATTCTTTATCAATACGAGCTCAATTTTATACGTTATAAATACTTGTATACTTCCATAAACGATATTGTAAGTACTACTTGTATAGAAGAGAAATATTTTTACTATATATTACTTATGCAATTATTAAAGGAACGATATATAGGAAAGAATTATCAAATATTTATACAAATTGCTGTTTTTTATAAAAAAAAAAAATATTATAAAGTATAAAAACGAAGCCATAAAAGAATCCGTAAAAACATAAAAAAATATTTTAATTCACTTGCCATATAAAATAAAAGAGGGAAGACTGAATAGTATTAGAATTTTATATAAAAGAATATTAAATGCCCACAATTTCATTTTAATAATTTTAAATTAAATACTGTTTTTGGTTTTCTAGAATATAAATATTCCCCATAAACATAAAAAAGAACTGTAAACAATTTTAATAAAAATAGAATTTTCATAATTAAATTTATATAAAAGGATTTTCAGTAAGTGTATGAATTAAAAGTGAAAAAAAAAAATAATTTAAAATAAAATTTAGTATTTATAAAAAATCGGCTTTTTTCTGTAAAAATCAAATTAAATATTATATTTTAAGTTTTAATTTTGTAAGTAAAATAAATTCATTATTATTAAAAATTATTAAATATTGGCGTTTTTTTTCCAAAATAAGAAAATTATTAAAGTACAACATCAGAACTAAAAATATTTTGATTATTATCCGAAAACTACGATACAGCAATATTGGCAGTGATGAATGAACAAAAAAATTACAGGAAGCAAGTGACAATACGAGTACTAGTAAATGCGAACAAATACATGGAAAATAAGGCTAAATGAAAGTAAATCTGTACATGTAAATTTCACAAACAAAAATTTATTGTAGTAGACATGAAAGATAGGACGCGTCTGGTACAGCATACAAATGTCGAGGCCTCTCAACTTACAGAGGAGAGTTTTTGGACAAAAAGACTGAAACGAACAAGACCTCTCGAGCTAGCCAGAGGATTATGACAGCACTTCCGTGCCTTCCCTCAGTAAATATAGACACAAAATCTCAGATAGGGCACAACTAATGGTTAGTCAATTTGACTAGTTTTGGGAGTTTATGACCAACCACGTGCGTTTTAGGTTGGGTTTAAAGTATATCAACAAACCCATCACTATTGATATGTTTGTTGACAGTTTGGGTAAGCCTATCTTTGTCTTTGGATGATTTTTAATATCTATATTAAGAAAAAAACTATAAAATTCTCCGAAAAAATTAAAAAATCTTATGTAGTCAACCTATAACCGAAGCCAACGTATATCGTCTAGTTTAACGAAAATGTTGCACAATATTATGTCTTGATATTATGACAAAAAATTTTTAAGTTCATTCTGAATTTATATATTAAATTTTAAGAAAATTAATTTGATTATTTCTCTTTATGTGGGCAAAAATATGTAAAATCGACCCGTAACATATCCCGTAATTTGATCAATCTGTTGCACACCCGAAATAAAATTATATATTAAAAATTTCGTCAAAATCATATACGAAATCACCAAATTAAGGTGACCACATAAACTTTCTTATTCAAATGTAATTTTATCGGCAAAAATTTAAAACTTGATTAATTTGCTATATGCTCATTGTATAGACTTGCATATTATTTGCCTTTTTCGTTTATTATATCACAAAACCCCTGATTATAATTTTCTTCTGTGAGCTAGTGTAATAAAACTGATTTTTTCTCAATAAATTTTTATTATTTATACAATTTTAAAAATTAACTAATCTGACCACCCTGTAAAATACAATCACTAAATGATAAATAAATTTAATAAACTACAATTATCTAGTCTATTTAGTTTTTGATATAGATATTCATAGTCGAGGTTTAAATGGGCGTCCTTATAATTCATATAGAATATATGAATTTTTTATACAATTTTATTAAAATACAAAACAATCTCTCTTAAAAACTACTTTAGACTGATTTTAGGTATATTTGCCATTGTAGTTACTTAAAAGAAATTTCTTTACTCGATTTCTCATTCCATTTTCACATATTTTCCGTTCCCAATTTTCCCTAAAAATCTACTTTAAACCATAAGGGTATGGGTACTATTTATTGTATTTTTACTTTTTTTCTTTTGTAACTTTAAAAACATTTTTATTACTTTATCAGCAATTTATTTCAATTTAGGTCATTTTATTTTATCATATATGGTCTTTAACCTATAATATCCTGAAATCACACTATTCCAAATGTATAAACAAGAAACTAAACATAAAAACAAAAAAACGCTAAATAATTTTGAAATTATGACATTTTGCATTACAACTTATTTTATGAAATTCAAAAAACAAAAATATATATAAAAAATTTTTGCCTTATTTTCACTTCTTTTTTTTCTTGTTTTTGAATTTTTCAAATTCTTTTATGTTTTACCCTTCAGTAAGGACTTTAATATTATACACTAAGTTCAATGAAAAGGATATTCTATACTATTAAAACAGAAAGTTTTTTTTTCGCGGTATTTTTGCGTGTAAAAAATTTATGTTTTTCTTTTTCTTTTTTTTTTTTTTTGCTTTAGAACAATGATATTTTTTTCACAATTTTATAATATTTAATATTTTTGTTGTTTTTTGCTCCAATTTGTGTTTTTTTTTTCGACCAATAAAAACTGAAAATATTTGTTTTAATGCATAGTATAGGTTTTTTTCTTTTATAGTTCAAGTAATTACAAGGCATGCAAATGAAATTATTTATGTGTGAAATGTGTTACTTCTTCTATAATACAATTTTATTAACTGAATCTCGATATAAAATATCAAAAACAAAAAAAATTATATTTTAAGTAAATTGTGAAATTTGGCACTTTTATTATAATTATGCATAAAATATTTTTTTATATTAAATAAATTATTTTATTAGAAAATATGAAAAAATTTGAGGCTTTCTTTCCTTAGTCGCCTATATTTGCCTGTGAGTAAAACAAAATTAGGTACATAATATAATAATTTATGATTTATTTCTCTTTGATTTTATAATATAATAAAAACATATTTTAATTAAACATATTATATGAGAATGTTTATTTTTATAGAAAAAATTATTTGACCTGAATTTTTTTAGGAAAGTATGAGAAATTCAAAAATTTTCTTTTTCAAACAGAATTCATTTAGCTAGCTCATAAATGAAATATGGACTACATTTGAGTATTTTGAGTGTATGGGTTTTCGCCCTTTAAAAATTTACAAGTGTTTATTGAAACTAAAGATGTATATTGTACATAAATATCAGTAAAATTTAAAATAATAAGATTACTTTCGACAAACGCAATTTCTGCTCACACCATATTTTCAAAATAATTTCATTTTTTCAATAATTTTCCATTATAATGTTCCTCTATCATTAAAAATCACTGACTTAAATTAAAAATACGTTACCAATTTTTTATACCCATCTACATATCTAATATGTAGGGGACAGATATCAGGGCACCAAATGCTCAAAATTTTCAATTTAAAAAAAATGTTTTTAATAAGAAAGTATTTGTGAACTCATTGCCATCGTCTGTTCGCCTGCTGTGCGTCTTAAAATAGAATAGCTATAATAGACGAACGTTTCAATTTCGGAAAAGGCCAAATTTAATTTTATTTACTTCTTAAAAATTCTAAATGAATAAAATAATAAAAAATCGATTGACTGTTAGTACAAGTTATTTAAAATCTATAACAACAAATTATATCATATTACTATAAAAAAAAATTTGCCATTTATAATGTTTGAATATTGGGTGTCGGTAATGTTCATGTATGTACTTAACTATTATATTATTTTACACATTTACCATTTTAATTATAGTGCATTTTTAATAAATTAAAATGCTCGTAACACTAATTGAAATTTTGCTTAAGAACAAGTGATATAATGAATTTTCAAATTTAATAATAAAAGTAAAACTAACTTTAATTACCTAGAATTCGAGTTAATAAACTTTTATAGAAGACATGCACGTATGTACGTTCCAATTAACTATATGTACTAACAAAATACTCTATATTGTATTAATTCAAATACATATGTATTCGCAATATATTGTATACATGTTTAATTAGTCTAGACATTGTTAAACGATTTATCGTAATTATTAATTGCTTTATAAATTTTTTGTTTCTTGTAATTAACACTTTAATTTATTTATTTCTTTAATCAAAAATCAAATTGCAAAATAATTTAACTCGGATATTAATAAGTCTATTGATCACAATCATTTAGACAAAGCTGATTCCATTTTAACCTAAGAACTGATTCCATTTTTCTTTAACGATAATGAGATAGAATCGAAATCAAATTAAAAGAACATCCTATTTTCTTAAAATAGTAGTGATTTTACTACCATTTGAGAGCGAAATCAAAAGAAAAAAAATCAGAACCACCAATGAATAAGCGTTCGTCTCATTTGGTCGAGAAAATCGTAATATACAATTTTCTATAACTTCAACTAATTCAATCTAATATGTATGAATGTTTTAAATTCTTAAGCATTAAATATCAAATTAAACTTATTTAACCTGCTTTTTTGGGACGCATTATTGTTGCATGTCTAGCTTTTATATATGTACATACATCCTTGCAATATTCATTAATATAACAATTTATTGACAGTTGAGTTCGATTTTCAATTATTTGTCCGACCCCCGCCCCCTCTTCCTTTGTATTATAAAAGACCTGTCGAACGTATGTAGTACAACTCATTGTATAAACTTTGAAACATTAAAAAAAATCAATAAAGTATATATGCATATACTTAGTCAGTTATTTATGAATATTCTTAAAATATACTTTAAAAAAGGAATTTATTTAACTAAAATTTTCTTTTAAAATTGGCATGAAAAGATCCTTACAAATAATTTCTATTAAGTATCGAACAATTAGCATACTGTTCGAAGCTCTAAAATATATACGTATACGTACATATAAGGCTCTCAAATACAAAGTGGTCGATACCAAAAATTTTCGATTTCTAGATAATTACGTAAAACCATTAGGAAGTATGTTAATACATATAGAACGTTTCTATTAGTAAAAATAATCTTAAAAACAAAAGTTTTACACCTTTTTCCTTTTTAAGTCAAGTTAGAACATTTTTAAAAGAAATATTTAGAGAAATCCGCTAAGAAATTTTTAGTAAAATATTTAATAAACGTACCCAATTTGAGCCGGAAAAATATGATCTGACCTTAGTTAGGAGGTATAGATCATATTTTTATATCCATAAAGGACGCTACCTCCGTAAATGTCGTATAACATAAAGTTATATGTCCTTTATACGCTCATAATTATACGGACATGCAAATTATGTTAATGTTCTACTTATAAAATTGTGTTCAAAGGTAGGAATAATGTGTAGGAAAAAATTTTTTCTAAAAATTAAAAATGAATTTGTCTCCAAATGATATTTTTCGAATTGGACAACTTTGCTTTTGAATGTTTCATGAATATTATACCCAATATTATACCCACACGAACGTATATTCGGACGGTATACTAAATTTGCCTTACGGTTTGTAACACTAAGAAATAAACGTCTGAGATATAGACTCAAGCACATGTTTTTCATCAGCGTCGAATTCTGAGTCGATTTAGCTTTGTGTGTCTGTAGCTGTCATACAACTTCAAAAGTTATTTGGTTATATCTCAGAAACTATAAAAGCTGTGGTATTAAAATTTCACACTAGCGAATATATTAGTAGGGCCAATGTGTTTGATAAAAGTCGTTGAAATTGCCATACATCTTCAATACTCGTAGTAGTTTGGCCATATCTTAGAAAATACTGAAAACACATTACTGAAATTTTGAATAAATTAATATAATTATACGACATATGCGTATGGCATATTTATTCGCAGATAGGATGAAAAGTTCGTACGGGTATCACAGAATTGACACGTTCAACTCTATTTTTTCTTATTCACATTATTTTTCAATTCAAGTAATCTAAAATTTCAATATTCTATAATTTTAAATTCATGCAAAAGGATTGCATGTTTCTTTTATTAAAAATGTCTTCAATAATTCAATTTCTACCAATTCTTCTTTATATTAAGTTGACCATCATATCTCAGATTTTTCGGAACAATAATAAATAAATAAATAATCTATTAATACACCAGAGTGCCTGTTATTATCTTTAATTATATTATTACATAAGGTTTCGATTCCATTTTCTTACTTAAATACTCTTTCGCAGCTAAGATTCTTTACTATTGCTATATATTGACAGAATTGTTTGCGTGCAGCAAGTGAATATTTTTACATAATATATCCCGGATTATGTTACTACAGAAATGGTTAGCCTAATTTAGCTTATAACAAGTTATACATATATAAATCAATATACTTTTTAAATTTTTACTGTTTTATTTACCTATTTCATATTACATGTATGCCAATATTTGTTTACAAAATTTATTCGTGAATTTTCATTGAAATACTTGAATGACTAATTTTAAAGTTTTTAATAAAATTATTTTCTAAATGTTCATGTTAAGAATTAGGTATTAAACCCTTCAAAATTTAATTGTTTTTGCCTATAAATAAGGTGGAGAAACGCTAACCTCTGACGAATACAATTTTAAGGGCAGTGGGATTACCGATTTAAATTCCTTCGAGAATGAGAACTTTTGAACTATATAAACCAGACACAACAATCATTTTATGCGTGTATCCCAGCATAATCCTACATAGAGCTTCATAAGGTTATCATTGGAGTTGGTGTCGCTTTAGATCTAACGGTGTTCTATGCGAAGTATGCTACACTATTTTATCTAATTTTCTATATTAGATTAAGCACTCCAACAAGTTTAATAAAAAACCGATCAGCATTTTGAAAAACTTTAATTTTTAATTGAAATATTCTACTTAAAAAATTCTTCATTTTCTACAAGTGAATTTGAATTCTATTCCAAAAGCATTACTACACTTATATTTAGGGAAACTCGAAAAATGAATGAAACAAACACGTGTATTGTTAATATTTTCTCTTTATTTCATAATAATTTTCGATACACACATATTTACATATATATCTACTAAACATATTGACATTATATTTCAAGTTTCTTTTAAAATCGCACTCTTTTTTACCCACACAAAAATGAAGCAAATTTGAAAAATCGCACCTACTTTAAAAAAAAGTTTTCTCTTATAAAATAAAGGTACTTTACAGTTACATGCAATATAAAAATTTTATCATACATATATCTATATGTAAATATTTAGATATAAAAATAAAGAGGTATATTTTTACATTTGCGCAATCAATTCTTTAAGAAAATTTTCCTACCTTCTTATAATGAAAAGTGAACGAAAGAATAAAGAAAAACAAAAAACCATTTGACCACCCCATTCCATACATTATTACCTAATGTATTTGTATTACAATTGTAAAAGAGAACCTACTTGTGTGTATACATTATGTTAGTACATACTGGACATTTTAGATCGTATATGCTACATGTTAAATAAACACACAAAAGCAAAATGAATTTTAAAATCAAAGGATATGTAAAAAGCTTAATAACTTTCTTTTAAAGTTTTGTAACAAAATTTATTTTAGTTATGAGTTTACTTCGGTTAAGTGCGGCGGGTTTATTATAATTCCATTTTTTTTTATTTTTATTCAATAAACTATATAAAATTTAATCGGCTAAATATAAAAATATTTACTTTTGAATTTAAATTATTGTGAAAGTAATTATTACACAATTATAAATAAGGAGAAAAGTAGAAGGACCATTAGAAGGAAGGAAAATATATAAAAAAAATTCAAATTTTATAAGAAATTCTTTCATCCTCTTATTATTTATCAAAATTACTATGTCGATATTTCGACGAATGTTTAATCGAAAGGATAATACAGCAACACAAACGATATCAAATACAACAGGAGTAATAACAACAACAGCAACAACAACACAACAATATAATGGTACTAAAAATGGAATTAATGGTAAAATTAGTACATCGTTATCGTCATCAATGAGTAGTTCAACTACATTGGATAATAATAATAGCAATAATTATCGACAAATATTAAAGCATGACAATGAAATAAAAAATAATAGCAACAATAATAATAGTAAATTTGGTAATTTTTTACCAAAATCACCAAAAAAATCATTACGCCGAGACGATAATACCAAACGTAATTTATCCGTCTTACAATTAACACCACTTTGGGAGCATATTATAAATACGCGTACTTTACCCGATAATATTAATTTAAATATAATGTTTAATGAATTTTTAGAACGTTTACGTGATCCTGAATGGCAAGTAAGACAACATGCTTTACGTGTACTCGTTGATGTATTATTGGTTATTGGTAATAAAGCTGATTCATATTTTAATTTATTATTACCACAATTAATTGAAAATCTTGGACATTCAGCACCAACTGTACGTAAAGGTGCATTAGATTGTTTAAGAGTTTATTTAAATGAAACATCAATGCCAGAATCTGTTTTATTACAAATACTGGATATTGGTTTAAATCAACGTATTACAAATGAACCATTTGGAGGACGTTTAACATGTGGTGTTATGCTATCCTTACCGTCATTGGTTCAAGCAACAATGGGTTCAACAAAACGTAATTTTATATTAAAAACAACAATTGATATGTTAATTAATAAAATGACACAAATTACACATCAAGAAATAACATTAAAAGTTTTATTAAAATTTAAAGAACTTTTGGGTGAAAATGAATTTATACAATATATAACACCATCTGAATATCGTGAATTTGAATTACTTTGTAGTGTTTATGGTATAACTGGTAGTAATCATATTAATTATCAAGTAAATGGTAATGATTTTAAAAAATCATGGCAAATAATACCATCATTCGATTCAGATGATAGAAATTTTTTATTAACACAAGATTTATTATGGAAATCATCTGATGATGAAGATAATAAAGGAATTGATTTACCAATACAAAATGATACATCATCATTATTTTCATTTACTCCAATACCATCATCAGAGATTTTACATAAAGATGAACCAAAAATTATATTAGAAACTGAAATAAAAATTAATAATGAATCAGTAACAATGAGAATTCTTGAAGCAAAAGATGATAGTTTTCTTCATGATTGCCCATATCATGATGATAATAAACCACTTGCTATTTGTGAAACAAGTACTAATCCAACAATAAAAGAAGATTTAACAACTTTGGATGAAAAATCAGGATTAATGCACATTTTAACTGATAGTGAATTGGATGAAATTAATAAAAATGTTAAGGATGCTGACCCAAATGTTTTAGGTACACCAAAACGTGTTACATTTGGTGGTGAAATCGTTAAAATGAGAACTCCTGATAGTGATGGAACAACAATAGCCAGTGATATTGATGTAATTGATTTAAGTCAAATAAGAAATGATAATAGTTTTAATGTAACACAAAATATGGTTAATAAAAGTCAATCTATACAAGATGTTCAAAATTTCGATACAAATTCTGTTAATAGACCGGTATCAGGCGTATCACATAAACAAGAAAAAATTAAAACTGCTTTTGAAATTGAAGAAAAAATTGAAAAAACTGTGGCACCTGCAAATACTGCAATCCCTTCTAATAATAATAGTAATTCACCAATTAAAAATAATATAACGGATGATGGAAAATTAAAACCAACTTCACCTAGATCACCATTTAAAAGAATGACAATAAGTCCAGTTGATAAAATATTAAGTCCGAAATCTGAACATAAAGAAATCGAAGTTTTACATAATTTACAACGTGAATTATCACCAAATCGAACAAAAGATATTAAACCGAAAATTATTGATATAACACCGAATGAAAACGAACAGATAAGTGATATGAAAGAATGTGAAACAAAAGCTCAAAATACAAATGTAAATTCATGGGAAGATCTTGGTTTAGTAGATAATCAAACATTACAAAATTTACGATCAGGGGTGAGTATATACAATCAAAAGAAATTTATTAATTAAATATTATAGTTTTAAACGAAATATTGCAATTTAATTAATATTAGTGTTTGATGCCACAAACATGCCATGACATTTCCATGGCATGTTTGTGGCATCCATGCAACAAACACTCAAACTCCTATAAGCTCCCACCAAAAAACACAGAGATTTCATAATATTCAAGAGAGTTTTCTAAACAAAATTAAAATTGTGCTGCGAAGATTCTTCTGTATTACATGAGCATTTACAACGTAGTTAAATCATTATTAAATAATTCTTTACTTTAACTATTAAAATCACTTAACTTAACAGCAATAAAATTTTTATAAGATTTTGTTAAAAAGTCAATGACTTGAAATAATTTCAATTTCATATTAAGAAACACGTTCTTTATTCCCATTACAGTGTTACAATAATTATGATGAAAATATTATCCTTGACTCTATTAAATTTAATGTAATAATTTCAACTTAAAAATTATTGAGACTTTTTTTTTTCCTCCTTTAATAATTATTTAAAATTAACCTACTTGAATTTCAAAAAATATTAACAATAAAAAAAAAGTGAACTATTATAATCTATCATAATTTCTACATAGTCTGACACCGTTTCATAAGTATATTAAGTATTGCATTCACGCACTGACCTTATTTCTGTCATATTTTAAAAGCTTTTTTTTTTATATTAGAATTAATAAAGAAGAAAAATTTGTCCTTTAGTATAATATTGTACTAAGTCATTTAAAATTATGGAAAATAAAAGTATATTTAGTCCTCCATTCATATCACTCTTTATATATACTATATTCTTTTGGATAATATTATATTTCATGACACAATAATGATTATCCATACTCCAAAAATTTATTTTTAATTAAATCAAATCAAAAATAAAAGTGTTTACATAATCAAGTACCCATCTACACCTTTAATTTAAAGAAATTACTATAAATTGTAATTTATATAATCGAAATTAATTTTCCCATGAATATTTGATTGTGTCCTTTAATATGCCAATTTACAAATATTTTTTGATATTTCATTTTATACTATATAAGAGTTTTGGTGTTTAAAGAAAATTTATATATATAATGCAAATATAAAATATCATGAAAATTATAACAAATAAGAGTTAACGATTCAATTAAAGGGCTAATTCGATAACCAAAAATTTCAACTTTTTTGTATAACTTTTCTACTCCTCCTCATTTAGGGCATTCACAAAACTTTGCGGTTGTTATTGTATTCCGGACCATATCTCTTGTACACTGGCCATAGGTCTATCTATACAGATCTGTGCCATATTTTTTTGTTTAGTCTTACAACTTTTTATGCTTTTCGATCCCACTAAAAGAATCTCCGTTGCAAATATTGTTTATTCGCCTTCGGAAGATGTGGTTCACTCATCTTCCCATTTTTTTTTTAATAGGGCCCAAATAGGCTCTTGATCTCTTATTTCCCTGAAATTCTTTATTATTAATTATTGTTGACCAAAAAATGCCGCATATTATTCGTATACCCCAATACTTCCTATCTATTAAAATATTCTAATATCGATCATTATATTTTAAAATTCAAAATTTTTTAAATTAATCAATAATCTTATTGATTTCAATTAAATGATTTGATTTCAATTTTGCATTTAATATTTATGAACTTGTTATTAAATTATAATATTAAAGAAATTTAAATTTTTTTTAAATAAAATAAAAATTATACTATTATGGAGTATATGAAGGAGTGCCCATAATATAGAAAAACGAATTATAACTATAAAATTTTAAACTCTAAAATAGTTTCAAGGCCATAATCTAACACTAAACTTTATAATTCTGCAAACTGTTATATTCAATTATAATTTATAGAAACATGAATTTTATTGCTTTCAAAAAAAAAATTTAACATGCACTAAAATAATTTTTTCCAAAAAAAAAAAAAAAAAAAACTAAATTTTAATTTAGAAAAAAGTTTAAAATCCTACAGTGTCCTTCAAAAAATTTTCAACAAAAAAAAAACAATAAGTGGGTTGTTTTTTTCATTTTTATAATTTTCAATTATTGGTTCATAAATTTTTTGTTTCTCCATTTTTTAATAAATTAAATGCAAAATTCTAAACGTTTTTATGCATTTGTAAATAATTATAATGAGTAATTGAATTCATAAAAGTAAAATTTTATTTACATGATGATTGTACAGTAAAATGATGTAGATATGATTGTATAATAAAAATTTTCAAATTAATAAAAAGCATTGGGCTATCTAGACAACAAATACATGTATGTATGTGCACTCTTATATAAAAACTTATAAAAGATCATTATATAAGTATAATACTATTATGGAATTGTGAATAAATCTAAAATTTGCGAAGTAATTGCTTTTATATTATGGTCAACTACTTTTTCAAACAATTTCTTTGATTTTACGATAAAAGAAAAAACAAAATCACGAATATAAAAGGAAAAAAAAAATCTGATGTGGTCAGCACATAACCGACCGCATTGTGTATTGTCTAGTTAAATGAAAGTGTTACAGAATATTACAAAAATGTCTGTTAAATACTTTTTTCCAATTTTTAGGACATTAGTAAGCTTATAGTTAACATACCTAGAAAAATGTAAATATGAATTTTAGTAGAGTTTCGCTTTGTGCTACCCGAATTCCCTGGAATGCTCGCCAGTTAGTTTTGGTAACAACCAGAACTCAAATATCAAATTTCAAGAAATTCCATCAATTCGTTCCGTAGATATGGTGAAAAATGTAGAATCGACCCGCAGATCGGTTTTCGAGCCTTGATGTTTCCAAAAAATTTACATGTTCATTGTTTTAATATGAGGAAGTCACATATTAAATTTCAATGAAATCGGTTGATTATTTCTCTTTATATACACAAAAATGTATATTTGGCCCGTAGTAAACGTCTACTTGCCGATGCCTGATTTCTTCCAAAACATAGGAATTTTCGCGGACGGTCGAGCTCAGCTTATATACAAGATTTCAAGTAAATCGGTTGAATATTTTCTTCAAAATGTACAAAAATGTAAAACAGGCCCGCTAAAAAGTGCAGTTCCCGAGGCCTGATATATACCAAAAGTTGATCAATCCGTGCCATGGTGGAATTAAACTCACATATAAAATTTCATCAAAATCGGTTCAGCCGAACTTGAGATACACGCATGCACACACAGACCGACAGACCGACAGGTTGCTAAAAATAGTTTATTTACACTTCCCTACTATGGAAAAGTACGTTCCCACTGAAAACTCGATATGCAAAATTTGTTGCCATCACATAACCTACCTATTGTTTACACAATACGGTCGGTAAAAACAAATTAAGTAGGAAGTTTTAATGACAGGGGAAAGACCGCTTAAAATAATTTTGAAATTCAAATGAATCATCCTTTGAATGGCAAAAAAAAAGGATATTTTATATTATTATATACATATGAAAGCTAAAAAGAATTGAACATTTAGAAATAATCAGACATGTAACGTATCTAAGAAATATTCGAATTTGTTAGGTACTCGTATTTTTGCAAAAAAAACGTTATCTCGTAAGCAATACCGGGTGCTTTTTAATCCCAACAGAATTTTATAATTACACATTAGTTAGAAAAGTTTTCACATTTTCAAGTTATTTCAGAAATAGGGAGCCATCGCATGACGATTCTTATAGAAAAAAAAATCGGCAACTCCAATTTTTGACTTATTTATCCAAACACTATATTGACCGCATTCCACGAATAACCAAATTGAGATAGAAAAATCACACAACCTTAGTGGCTAATTTACAGACTGGTTTTGGTACAATACAAATATGAGTATATTTTCAATTTAATAATTGATGATCTTTGTACAATAACGAACCGGTAAATTTAATCATAACTTGAGCTCAAACCGTATTTTTAAAGTAATATGGTTTAAATGATGCCAAGATCACGTAAATTACAAGAACTACTTCGAGTGGTTAAAAAGTTTTATATTCCTACTTAGTGGGTGCATTTTTGGCCCTTGCAGCGCTTGTAATAATAAATTCGAATCAATCCTGGTTTTCTTACACTAAACGCGTTTCAACAAATTTTCATTAATGATTTTTAGAAACTTTAATTATTCATAGTGTTGCTATATTTATTTGAAAAATTCTAAAATATTTTTCGATATTGAAGAGCATTTATGTAAAAATAGAATATTTTTGTTAAATATTAAATATCTTACCAAAAACACCATTTCAAGCTTCCATATTTCTGATTGTAACTTGTATATATTGCATATAATATGATTATTTTTGAAATTAACATCTGAAATGAAATATTAAATTTATAGGATATTAATCGACTTAATGTTTTATCAATACTATTCTTTTTGAATACTACAAGTGACAATTTGTTTACTTTCTCTTATACAATTTCATTTTATTTTATTTATACTGAAATATAATTACTTAACTCAATAGATTATGAATAAAGAAATATTCTAGAAAGTGTCGTATATAACTATGTGTGTATAGTTATTTTTGGTCATGGTCATGGTTAAAAATAATATTTTTACCCCATACTTTTAATTTTTGTTATACATTTTTCCAATCAATTTTCCAATAAAATTCATTAAAAGAACGAAATTATATGATATGTGAGTGCAGGTTTATAAATTCGAAAATAATAAAAAGCGGCATTGTAACAATTACATAATGTATGCGTGAATGTACTTATAAAAGAATAAAATAATATTGAAACTTTCTCAACAAATTTTGACCTTACATGTTATAGAATGATGATTACGAGAATTTTTTTTTTAATTCAAGTAATATAAAATGTTTATATAACAGAAAAAATACGAGACTGGTTGACATTTTTCGATGAAATTGTCTGCACAAAAACGTAAAGAAATTAAATTTTAACAGAATTTTAAAATTCGAATATTTAAAATTCGTGTTTTCTATTGTACTCATATGTAGAATAAATACAAGTATATGTAGAAAGAAAA